AACATCAAATGATTGTCAAAATAATTTCATGCTTATCGATGTGACACTCACTCACTTCGAGATCTGAATCCTTAACAGTGATTTTTATCATCAGTCTAAGTAGAATGCCAGGTAATTATAAGTTATATATATATCCGAAAATCACACACAATTACACTCTCATATGATATTATAAATGTTAATATATGTGGTAATGAGATATCAAAATTTACGGCCTAAATTTAATAATAGCCTTTGATTAAGATACCATTCTTTGATACATATACGAGTGTGTAAAGATTCTATAATTGCATATGTTCGCTATCCTCTCAAATACGATATGAGGGACATATTTTCTTTTCATAATAAAACTAAGTATAAATTTACAGTCCCAATTACAATGAAATCCCCAAATAATAATCTGTTTGCTCTAATCAGATAATAATGCATAAATATACTCTCAGTTATAATTTATTGAAAACGACATTATCGCGAATATATCCTATGCTATATATGATAAACATAATGTTGTTTGTTTGTTCTATTTCCCTCAATAATATCAAACTGACAAGTGATTAATTGATAAAAGAGAGGATATATGTATAGGCTCTTGTAATTAGTTGCTATCTCCTTGTTCACTGCGAACAACTAAACTCTAAACAATACGTTTACGATTGTTAGTGGGCGACGGGGCGTTATTTCTTACAATTAATTATTTGGTTATGAGATCGATGTAATGATATGATGGTAAGATTTTTAGTTATTATAGCTTGCTAATTTAATTATTTCTATGTATATTACATTAATATATATACACGACATATATATAAATACACAATATATGTATATATAAATACACAAATATTTACGCACATATGATATATTAGTGTGTGTTCGTGCTTATGTGCGTGCGTGCAAGCAATTGTGTTGTCGTGAGTGTGAGAATGGTGGTGTGTGTGTGTGTGTTGTGTGATGTGATGTGTGTGTTAGTTGCGTTGTGTGCTCGATTATTATGTTGTTAGTTGGTGTGTAAATGTGTGTTTGTTGTCTCGTGATGTGATGTGTGGTGCGTAGTGTTTGTATTATGCTAGTTGTCTCGTATTGTGTGTGTGTGTGTGATTTTTGTGCATAAGATGTGTGTATTGTGATGTAGTGGGTTGTTGGTGTTGTGTGTGTGTGTGTTGTGTGTTGGCTGTCTCGTGTGTGTGTGTGTGATGCGCAGGTGTGGTCGGTGCGTGTTTGCTGGTAGTGTGCGATGGTGTACCTATTCAAAAATATTATTAAACCAGATCACATATATCCCAAGTGTATATTTGCACACTACACTTTTCGCTCTCTCTCTCTCTCCCTATACTCTCATGCTTCGTCTCTCTCTTTCTCTCATCGTCTTGCCTCTTCGTCATTCTTCTCTCTCTCTCTCTCTCTGCTTCTTCCTCTCTCGTCTCTCCACTCCCTGCCTTCGTCTCTTATCCTCCCTTTCTGTCCGTCTCCTCGCATCATAACACATCGGGTCTCTCTCTCTCAGCTCAGTCCGCTCTTCGTCATTATACTCGTGTCTCCTCTCTCTGCGTGGCTCCCATGGTTCTTCTTGTCCTTGTACGTCCTCTGTTCTGTCCTGCTCTGTCTCGATCTGTCTCGTCATGGATACATGCGTGTTCTGCCTCTCTCTCTCTCTCTCTCTCTAGCGTTCTCTTCTCTCCCTCCCTCTTCTCTCCCTCATCCACACACACACAACACACACTAGGGGCGTAGCCAAACATCTTGGGGCCCAGGGCTTTGGCATTACAAGAGATGTATTTGATCGGTTCAAATACATCTCTTGTACTGTGGAGATATTCATTCTCATCCATACCCTTTCCTCTATATTTCTTTCTTGCCGGGGCTAAACACATTCAGTATTAAGCATTTAAACTAAACCAAAGAAATACACTAAGGCTGTTGTCTTAGGCTACCATGCGGGCATGCGCATGAGCGCAACTCGGGTGCGGGATTCCTACTCTCGAGGCAATTAGCATGACGGGCGCAAGTGGCGTCGCGCAGAGGTCCGGAATTGCGCATTACTTTTTCAAAAGAGGTCATGAGTGGTCCACGAGATTCTCTCCCACAAGCCCTAACGAAATAAGTTGGGGGTAAAAGGATGTAGCCAAAATTACCTAAAAGTTGGACAGCTGCGTGATCGACCTCTTGGGCTACTTTCTTCAAGATCTCTCTCAACTTCTCTTTGGCCCTCGCCAGTGATTGCTCACCACGTCCTAATTTCAGTTAAGCGAGCGGGTTGCCCATGCGGAACCCGAGGCTACCATGTTTGGCTGGGAGGTGCTGTCGAGCCTTGCGCTCAACATGTGTCACTCATCGTCTCACTCCCGCCCACCTTATGCGAGGCTCATGATACTCTGTCGCGTTATTTATGAGTCAGTCTTGATTTTTTCCGTTTATATGCGATCCAGCGCACTTAAGGTGAGGTGAGCCAAGTCAGCACTCAATGACCCCGCTGATTTCATCGAGAATTGATCCATTTTCTTCGCTCGCTGCATCGTACTATAGGCCATTCATCGTACGAGGCGTAAAGGTATGAATGTAGGATTGCCGAGGACTAAGATCGGACAAGATGTCAAATTTTGGGAACTTCAATCATTCTCATTTCCTAACGCTGTTAAAACCACTGCCCCTGCAACATTATACCTCTCCGTTGGTACTACTATTATACTAGAGTATGAGTGACGATATCTACTATTAGGTGGCGTATATATCTGAGCAAATTAGGATAACGGGTATTATATGTATATATTATAGCTCCTTATCAGTATTTTACTGACCTGAGTGACAGCGTGTGACAGTCACATTGGTGTGAAGATAAGCCGCCTCAGTGTACTTCAAAATTAACCTTCTAAACAATGATCGTGTTTTAAAGGTTACACTTATGAAATCGGCAGGGGCAATAAGTCCCTGATGCTCATTGAGATGGACATATAGCCATTCCCATCAATTATCAACCACAAGGCCCATTGACGATAGGCGAATTAAAGCCATCCCGACCAGGAGAACTGTCCTTCCCGTGAATATATCATTGTGTTTTTCGAGGGTGCGAGCTTCGAATGAGTCCAATGATCTGAGGCAATGCTATTTTCTCTCTATTTGTGAGAGCCCTATTGTACAAACTACAGCGATTTAAACCCTGCTTTACCTATTGTTCATTGCAGCAGCAGCCTCTTCTCACAGGAAGCTATGGCATCACGATCTCGGTGGCTGTGGTCACTAGGATTTATACTGCAGGGCGCTCTTTTACTAGATTTATCAGGGAACTCCAATTTGTACGGGGCTACTCACGGATGCCTCGCTGAGACGAAGGCGAAAATAGGTCCTCTGCCCAATTTTGCGGCGAGTCTCTTAAAGAAACCGCTTCGGCTTGCCTGAAGCCCATTCGCCCAGTGTAAACGCTCTTTTCAGAGTTCTATACATATCAGTGCTAAATTGAGGCGGCGAATCATGACTCATGATGTTTTCCTATGATTTGGTTCGTCATGACTCGTTTGGTGGAAACGCACCCTAACTGTCTGATATTGTTATTTTAGGAAATTTCTTTTTTCTTTTTTAATGTCAAGTGTCATTCGGACGCTGGGTCGTCAAGAAATTGGTCGTCAAGGAAAGATGGCAAAGGAGGGGGCGGGGGTAATTAGTTAGTGGATTTGCCGAGAGAAGATGTGGGATATTGGGTGTCCGGAATCATTAAAGAATCGTGGATGTCTTTTCTTCAAATTACTTTTTTTTACATGCGTTTGCAACTTGCTTCGCGCTTGATTGGAGATTATTCGATTATCTAGGAATTTGCCGACAGGTTCCGGTTTTAGCTTCATTTGCCGAGAAGAGCTTTGTACAGGGGGGTGTCACCCTTTTCCATTGAATTAGGCCCCGGGGGGGGGGGTCGTCCCTCCCATCTCTTTTCGTCGTATGCTTAAAGAAATTGTGGAATCCACTCTTCGAAGGGCAAAATCCTTTGCTAACGGATGATACCGCAAAACTTCAAGTCTAACCAAATAAGCAAGAGATAAGTAAACATTTGTATTTTTTGAAACTGACCGTTCTAAGACTTTCCATACAGAGATCTGTAAAGAATCTATTATAAGTAAGCTGTGTCAAGAACTGATACTTGCTTTACATGGTGTCTCTCATAGTTAACCTAATACGCCTACCTGTTAGAGGAGCATCGACTCTTACCAACGAACACACGAGGAGCGATCAACCACCTCCACCTAACCAGCGAGCGCACTGCAGCACAACACATCGACACACGATGTCACACACTACATAACACGAACGATACCAGCAGCACACACTGACACACACACAGGCACACACACCACACCACACACACACATACACAGCACATCACGTCTCACACACAGGCGAGCACGCCACGCTTACCACACACACATCGCTACACACCATCACACTACACACACACTCATCGACACACCATGCGAGCGCACACACACACAGCATACGAGCTACAACACACACGACGGCTCGCGCACACGCACACACCCGCGCGAAGTCGAGCGGACGCGATGGACGCTATGGGCTCAGTTCCCCCAAAATATTCACACATATGCAATATTGTATGCAGTGTGTGTATATGATAGTACTATTATTGTGTTGAAATTTGATTGCCTCTTGCATATGTGAGATACAAAAAGTATTAATAAGCTTTAAAGTAAAAACTCAAGAAACACATTTTCCTTTTTATACTAAAATTTTAATTTCTATGTGATCCTCACGGATCCTCTGAAACCCATTTTGGTTTGCGAATATGCAAATTAATAGTAGAAAGAAATCCTCTCGTCGCTAAAGCCTAAAGGTCGAGTTTGTAAGTGCCAAATCCGCTGATCTAAAAGAAAGTAGTCGATCCATTTTTTAGAGATCAAAGCGGTAAAGATCGTCGTTTTGTTGATTTCACCGTGAAGTTTCCGACTCAGTTTGCCGGCCCCTAACAAAAACAACGTTCTTGAATCCGCGTGAATCCGCTTGCTTTGGCCGACAGTCAGAGCATCGGAGGCACAATGGCGACTCACGTTGCCGGTATATTTGACGAAAACCTCAGAAACTCGGTCAAATCCTGCAAAGTCCTGGTGGTCGGCGCAGGCGGGATTGGCTGCGAGCTCCTCAAGAACCTGGTGTTGACAGGATTCGAGGATATTGAAGTGGTAAGCGGGAGAAAAGGGAGAATAAAGGGGACATGTTGCGGTTGACATGTCTGTTTCCCGCGTCAGTTGGAGGAGATTCACGTCGGGTCATGTCTTGGGGGATTTCGGGCCTCATGTTTCTCCTGTTCTCTTCCGTTTCTTTTGGTTGTTTCAGGGATACAGGTTGTTTAGGAGTAAAGAGAGATGAGTATTTGTTTTGTGTTCACGTTAAGGGAGGAAGGGCGTTAGTGGAGAGGGAACTACGACCCAGGGAATAGACAAGAATTATTTTGAGCAAAAGTTTGTTGTAAGTTTTTGTAAAACATACCCGCTGCAGTAATCTTATATTGTCTTTGTTTCTTTAAGGAACCCAGTCATTACTATGAGTGGTATGTGAAGGAACCTTTGCAAAAAGAGCCATGAGTATTAGTAAATTTTGAAAAAGATTCAGGATGAAACTAGATTCATTTGATTTCTATTGTCATGGTTCGTTTCCATCAGAAATGGCAGGACGTCAATTCCAAACCAGAATCGTGCCCCACTCTCTAGATAACAGCGTATGGTGCAGTATGGCACCATTCTCGATCTCTGACCTCGGAAACTTCACAGGGTGTTTTCGGATTTACTTGATTGTCACCTTTGTTAGTACAAACTTGCAGAGCTGTTGCCCCCAGCCAACCACCCCATGGGTGGCTGCTGCCCCCTGCCCCTGCCTAAGGAAAACAAAGAATCTTCCACATATTCACGGCAGCTAGAGAAGTGATCGGGAACAAGAGGTTGGGGACGGTTGGTTTTGGGCCCGCCTTCTACTACTGCGTGAGTTCGTGACACTTTGTGCCTCAGAATTAAGCAGACCATCTCTTCACCCTATTACGTAAGAAATATACACCCCTGAATATCGAGGATTACTAATTCACTAGAGGCAGCCGGAGGTAGTCTTGGTGAGGGTCGCTTTGTATGACTGGAAATCACTTGGGAAGTGAGTGCGAATCGAGAAAGTCTGGTTCAGTGCCCAGGACAGCTGGTCACAAAGAAGTTCACAGTGCTACTTCTGTGGGACAAGCTAGCACTCGTATTTCATTCATAGACATTATGTGACCAGCTAAGCCTCGCGTCTCTCTATAGAACATAATTTGTGATACTTGGTATTGATTCTCATACCGCGACACCCAACCACAACACAAGGCGTAAATGGCTTGATACTAAATTTTTGAAGAATGAGACTACACTCCTACTTTGTTGTGGTCATTCAGTGTGGACGATGGTGCTTCCAATAGTGGTGGACATTCAATGTTTCACATATTGGCGATTATTATACTTATACCCACTCCAAACCAATTTCTCGAGCTTAATGTAAATCGTACACTCATGGCGAGTGAGCCTCCACATGATGATAACAGAGAATGAGTGGCCGGGTTTACGTAGAGACCCCTCGCGCGTATGGACAGTGGGAGAATTTTTGCGTCAGTATCCTCAGCGATCATAATGAATCACAATCCTCCTTTTAATGAACTCTTTGGGCAGAAGAATTTGATGTTACTGATCGGCCATCATGACGGAGAGGATGTGTGGTAAGCAGCGTACGGCGAGTGCAGCCCCTCATAGCCCCAGCTGTGTGCAAGTATTAGTTGAACTCAATCACACCGTTCACTAGTACTGAGGGATGCTTTATCTGCAGCCAGGAGATAACTCTTCTGAGGAAAGTTATGGTATCTCCAATACAAAATATCTCTATATATTAGAAAAGGAGATTTACCACGACATAGGGAAACCACTACGCTGGAGTCTGTCCAAATGATAGGCACATATCTCTGTGTGTCTTTTGAGCTCACCAAGCCCTCGAGTAATATTCTGAGGAAGGATGGTGCCCGCTGCCCACTGCTTGCAAAATTTTGAAGTGCCATTCTTAGTAATGACCTTCGTTCTGCATACCAATCCCTGAGAAAAACTGAACTCCTAAGCGTCGATCCAGTGCCTTCTTCTCGACATGCAAGCGTGAGAGAGTCTAATACGTGTCAGATATCGCATTTAATGTGGGTGGTAATCAACAGATCTTAATCCTATTGCGAAACAAACGTGTGGCATTTTGCGTACCAGGGATTTTAAGGGAAGGACATCAGTTATGTACCCAAGCTTGAGGTGGTCATTAGTGAGACCTGGGGCAATATCTCACCTGATCCACTCCAGAACCTTGCTCTATAAATTCCTGGAGATCTTCAAAGTGTAAAGATTAAGAAAGTATTGAATTGTAAACTGAATACATTTTTTTCATATAAATTCCTCATTGTATTCACTGATAAGCAGGGGCTGTGTACTCTTGACAAGTACTGTAATATAAATTTCCTTCAATCGTATGTCACCCAGCCAGCCCTGAACCCCCAGCACTCTTATACAATGCTTCCTAATCCTACACCCCACCTAACACCTTATCCTAGGGGATCTGCCTCAATAGGAGATCATTTTATTTATTAATTTTTCTTTTTCACCCCTTTTTTTTATTCATTTTATTTTATTTTATTTTTAAAAAGAATTATACTATTTCTATGCCTTTCAATATAATTTGCTCTTTGAAAACCATATATCTTGTACAAACAACAATTTTTTTGTGCATTCGCTGAATTGCTGGACTTGTTTGGTTTCTTAATTACACTTCTTTCAACGCTTGGGGCACCTGAAGAGCTCAGAGATATTATGAAGAATATGAGTCTAGTTCTCTACTATATTGCTTCAAAATTGGCCTATAATTGACATAATAATGCAAACAAAACATTTCTCACCAGCAAGTGTCTTGGAATGAAGGCTCGTGCAGAAGATTGTTGGAAATAATTGCATAAATAACTGCCCCCTGCCCCCACCCAAAAGAAAGTAATGAAATGAAAATAATGATAATTTCTAAAAGAATTTGATACATGTAAATATGGAAAAACAGACATTGATATGTATGAAATAACCACTTTCACTTTTGTGTAGTAATTAATGAACGTTGACAACATGTTTCAATAATGAGTTATGCTTGAGTATGCAGAGTAAATATCTTGAGTTTAAATGCATATTGAAAACAACAGTGTAAGAATACATGAAATAGGTTCATTGTTATTGAAAGTCAGGCATGCCCAATATGATTATAGGAACACTGCAACACTGGGGAATGGTGGTTTGGTAGCAGGTCATAACACGAAAAGAATGACTAGAATAGACATACCCATTTGCATTTGCCTTCATTTAAGATCATCATCTTCCTGATGGTAATTATTCAAAGTTTCTTGTGTTATACATATAGTAGTAGTCCCTTTACCTCATTCAAATTATGCATTATGTCCTTTCAGATTGATTTGGATACCATTGATGTTAGCAACTTGAATCGGCAGTTCCTTTTCCAAAAACAACATGTTGGCCGTAGCAAGGCAGAGGTTTCAAGAGAATCTGCACTTCGTTTCAACCCTAAAGCTAATATTAAAGCCTACCATGACTCTATTACAACGTAAGTATTGGTTTTTGAACACTACTCAAATAATTACCTGATGTACATGTATACACACACGCACACAGTTTGTAACTTTTGTCTTATTTTTTGCTGATTTTGAAAAACAGAAATTATTGATAACCAGCAAGAATAAAAGATGTAATATATTGATGATATTGATATTGATTATGAATGATATTGATATTGATTATGAATATATGTATCATATAAATAAATAAATAAATAAATATATATATATAATATAATATATATATATATATATATATATAATATATATATATATATATATATATATATGTATATGTATATGTATATATATATATATATATGTATATGTAATATATATGGTATATGTATGTATATATATATATGTATATAGTATGGGTTTTATTTAATATCCAAAGTTTGCTACTGAAAAATATATATTTTGTAGGCTATTTTTTATATTATGTTTCAGTTTGAAAAGTTGAATCTTAGACTTTAAAGTACCAGTTATTTTTGTAAATATTTTAGGAAAATTATACCATAAATTTAATTTATCTTCTATGTATATTAATAATTACTACTATTTTTGTGTTATATGTGTCTTAATAATGTCCAACTCAAAGTTGTTTTCTAATTAAACTAATTTCTCTATAAATTTTAAGTTTGTAACATACTTTGCATAAAAGGGATGCTCGGAAGATACTAATATTAATTATCTTATAGTACTGCATATCATAATAATTGCAGGAGAGGCATTGCTCTTATGATTATATACATATATAATAACGATTGTCAACTTCTGTGTAAGAAAATTATGAATTTAATTCAAACGCCTCATAAATGAACTTGCGTTGAAATCACCTCACTCGAAAAATGGGTTATTTTGTCCTTTTTATTGTTGTGAGTAATAGATATATGAATTAAGTGTAAATAGTTGTAATATAACGTATATATAATATTAATTATTATATATATGTATATAATTAATATTATAATGTATATTATTACTAATGTATAATATATATATGTATGTAATATAGTATATATGTATATATATATTTATGTATATATATATTTATATTATATATATAATTATATGTATATATATGTTAATTATAAATATTATTCAAATTTATGTTATATATATATATATATATGATATATATATATATTAAAATGATATATTTATATATAATATTGTTGTATATATGTTATATACTACCATATACATATTAATTACAATGTATATATACGTATGATATTTATTGTGAGTGTACAGCGCGCTGAGTGAGTGCTCAGTTGTTTGTGATGTTCATGTTGACGTGTGTGTGTTGTGTATTATATATATTTAATGTATATATGTATACATATATATATGTTATATATATATATATATTATATATATATATATATATGTATATATATATATATATGTGTAGATAATTATTTATGTACATACATATACGCGCTAAATCAACAACCACTACACATCATACATCAACATACACAAACATACACACACTAACACTACCAACACACCCACACACTACATAACATACACACATATTATATTATGATATATATATATGTATATGTATATAATTAATATGATATATGTAATATATATATTTATATGTTATAATGAATATTATATATATATATTATAATATGAGATATGTATATAATAATATAGTACTATGTATGTTGTTGTATTGAGTTTGTGTGATATTGCCGTGTGTGTGAGTGTGTGTGTGTTTGTATTTATATTTATGAATGCATGTTAGTTATTATTTTCATAATATGTGATAATCCATTTTTTTATTATATTCAACTTCTGTCCATAATATTGCTGATTTACTATTATTATTTCTAATGCAAGCCTATATATCATGCCAACATAATTATATGATTTCNTCTCTCTCTCGCTGCACCATACCTCCATTTGCTCTAAAATCCTTCCCGATGTCTTGATACCAGTATTTTAAATGCGTCACCTGACTTTGGATTCCTGACGTAAGACTGTATAAAAGTTTTCCGTTAGCCGAAGCATTTATCAAATAATGAAGATCTTAAGAGAAAAGAGATTATTTTTCTTGCTTCTTCTTCTCTTCTTCTTCTCTTTTTCTTCTCTTCTCTCTTATCTCTCTCTCTCTCTCTGCTCTCTCTCTCTCTCTCTCCTCCTCGTCCTCTCTCTCTTTCTCATCTCTCTCTCTCTCCTCTCTCTCTTCTCTGCCTCAAATCCTTCTCTCTCTCTCTCTCTCTCTCTCTCTCTCTCTCTCTCTCTCTCTCTCTCCTCTCTCTCTCTCTCTCTCTCTCTCTCTCTCTCTCTCTCCTCTCTCTCTCTCTCTCTCTCTCTCTCATTCTCTCTCTCTCTCTCCTCCGGTCAAGGTAATTATCTCTTTCAACATTCTCCTTTTTTCTTCGTTTCTCTGCCTTTCCCCCTTATCTTCTAGCTCTTCTCCTCACTCTCCATGTCTTCGTTTGTCTTCTTTCTTTTCGTATGTTTAGAATTTTTCAAAGGCTAGAAAATGACCCTCCCCCCCCACCTACCTCATTCCTGAATCCTTCACATGCACACACATACAAGGCACAAGGCCACACGCGCACACATACAAACCAGACACACAAATTACCACCACTCACATTACCCAAAGAGAGAGAGAGGAGAGAGAAGAGAGAGAGAGAGAGGTAGAGGAGAAGGAGAAGAGAGAGAGAGAGGAGAAGAGAACTGGGAGAGGGAGAGAAGGGGAGAGAGAGAAGATGGGAACGGTGAGAGTGAATATAGGCAATGACCGAGACGAGCCAGCTGAGCGCCGAGGGCAGAGAGAGACGAACTAACCTACTCGAAGGTGGAGGAGAGAGGATGAGGGAGAGAGAAGAGACCGCAGAGAGAGAGAGAGAGAGATAAGAGAGAAAAGAGGAGAGAGGGCGGAATCCAGCGAGATCGCGGGAGAAGACAGAGAGAGAGAGGAGAGGAGAACCAGGGAAAGAGGGATGAGACAAGTTAGCTAGAGACGCCAGAGCAGAGAGAGAGACAAGAAGAGAGAGAGAGGAGTGAGCAGAGAGGAGAGACAGCAGCAGCCACCATTAGGAAAAGGGTGATAAGAAGGAGGGGAAAAGGAGAGAAGTTTATCAGTCGCGGAGAAGACATGGCAAAGGTCGTTCAGAGAAGAGGAAGAAAAATCCTTTCTTTATATTTCACTTTTGCACCACATGATGAATTGCTTTGCTTCACTGACAAGTTATTTATTTATTATTATTATTATTTTTTTTTTTTTTTTTTTGAGTGAAATTTCTCTTTTTTATAGATTTGTTTGAAACTTGAATTCGGAAATCAGACAATCATATATTATATATATATATATATATATATATATATATATATATATATATATATATATATATATATATATATATATATATATATATAAATATACAAAGTCCAATTCATATTTCCTTCTGTCTCTCTCCCTCTCTTATTTTCATCCCCCCCCCCCCTCACCTCTGTCTCTCTCGCCCTTCCTTCTCTCTCTTTCTCTTCCTTTTTCTTTTTTCGTTCTTTCTCTCTCTAATTCTCTCAGAGACCCACGATTCAAAAAACATAAATCTCATTTAGGAAAAAATAATAATAATAAATCAAAATCATATTTACAACTAGAAACACTAAGAGAGCGTTTACATCATGTCATGGTCACTGACGCAGTAAAACATATTCGCATTTGAAGAATTACATTAAAATCACGGGTGACGTCCATATTTCACTATCTCGTAATGCCAATAAATCCTTAAATGTAATTTGGGATACGATACCCCTCTGGTCAGTATTTGTTATTTGTTATTTTTATTTATTTATTCAATATCTTTATTTTATTTATTTTTATTATTATTTTCTATTTATTTATTTTTTTTTTGAGTTATCCTGCTAACCAACTAACAAATTAATCAAGACACACCCTCCTCCGCGGAGATAATAATATACTTGCATTGTTCTAACCAGGTTGCTTACTGCTCTGCAATGTCCCAGAATTTCCTAAACTTTGGACGAAAATACGACATAGAAAAAAATGTTAATTGGCAAAGGTAAACTGATTTGGCTTCGCTGACGTAAGACTCATAAACGTCTTCCAATTAGCGAAGCAATTTGTCAGGCAATGAAGATATCAGATAAGAGGGCACGTGTCTGTTCTTTTGGTAATGACAGTACTTTGACTAATTTTAATCTGTCTCTTCTTTGTTGACATTCGAAACCGCGCGCGTATATGCAATGAGCCGGTCAGTCAGAGAGTCTCTCTTTTAATTTTCTCTTTTTTCTTTCATTTCCTTTCCTTCTCCTCATCTTCTCCTATTTTCTGTTTCTTTTTTTATTCATGTCTCTTTCTCTTTCGTACTTTTTTTTTTTTAATGTAGAAAAATGATCTCTTTTTCTCTCTTTCCCTCTCTCTCTCTCTCTCTCTCTCTCTTTCTTTTCTTTCTTCTTCTCTCTCTCTTCTCTTCTCTCCCTCTCCTCTTCTCTCTCTCTCTCTCTCTCTCTCTCTCTTCTCTCTCTCTCTCCTCTCTCCTCTCTCTCTCTCTCTCTTTCTTTCCCTCTCTCTCTCTCCCTCCCTCCCTCCCTCCCTCTCCTCCCTCCCTCTCTCTCTCCTCCCTCTCTCTCCCCTCCCTCCCTCCCTCTCCCTCCCTCTCTCTCTCTCTCTCTCTCTCTCATTCTCTCATTTTCTCATTAATTTGCTTTCGGTCTCTTAATTCAAGAGTCATTGAAGGCAACATAAAACAACAGTTCATATCTTTTCACTATACACTTACAAGCTTTTACTGACTAAACAATACCAGAGCTTAATTTCACCACCGTGTTTAAACAAAAGATGAACTAACGTATGTTCTTAGTAATACACTTGCTTTACACCTGAAAACATGTAATGTGTGACCTTTAAAAGTGAAAAGACATATGAACTGATTCCATAACTACGAATCTTTTTTAGAGAGATACACGGAATGGAATACGCAACAACAAAACATTTT